GAGTAGGCTGTTTATAATATAACATTTTCTTATCTATACAGAATGAAAGCCAAAAAGTTAACTGTATAGAGATGTGCAGAACAACATTAAATATTATGACTTAAAAGCAGGGACAAAGGTAAATTTGAAAGAAGAGTAAGAGAGAAAATGTTTACAGGCCATTACAAGTTCTTAAGTTAATAGTAAATAAGGAATCAATTGCTCAAGTTGAAGAAAGCAGTAAACAAGAGATTGCATTTACATGCAGATGTCTAAAATTTGTATTTAAGTCTATGCACAAAAGTCATTTGTTTTATTGCTTGACATTCAGTTATGGCTAGATTATTTAACCTATTTTTTTTTTTTGTACTTTGGAAACAAGAATATTGTTAAAGGTGCCATAAAAATGGACAACATTGAAAACGGTTTGCAAATAAACCACCTAACACTGCAGTTCTTTATACATATTAAAAGCCTTGTCTGGGGTTTGTCATATGTTAAATATATTTAAACTGGGAAAATATGTTGTAGCTTGAAGCCTCCCATTGGCCCAAACATCCAATACAAAAACACATCTCCACAAAAGGAGCAGGCAGACAATACAGGTACATTTAAAGAAGCAGCCAGCTAATGTCCTAATGTTTAAAAATTTACCACTGTTTTATTTGAGATTTCAAACCACTGTGGATAAGAGAATTTTGGATTCAGGAAGATGTGTACAGTACATACAGATTTTTTTGTGTGTGAAATCATATTCACTATATTGCTCAAGAATTATCTGCATTTACATATGCAATCTGTTCAATAATAACCAAGTTCCCAGAAATAGTTTTCATCCACATTAAAGTAATAATGAGTGAGAAAGGAAACACACGGGACACTGGAGAGAGTTTAGTTGCTCTTAGAGAACAACATAATGGTGTGTGCACTGTGTCAAAGCTAATAGCAAGCTGTCTTTCTTCAGTTCTTAGAAGGAAAAAAGTAAAAGAAAATGTGGCAGACACACTAAATGTAAACAGCAAACACGGATTCTGTAGGCATCTGTTGAAAATAGTCATATGCATTTTCTTAACACAAGACCCCATGTTATATTGCATTGCTGAAAAAACATCGTGTTTATTTGGATGGAATATTCTGTCATTCATTTATAAATAAGTAAATGACTGAATGAATGTATTTATTGCTCTAAGATCTGAGGGTCTGGTTAAACATGGAGATCCATCTATGATATTTCCTTGATATAAAGCCAGGCTTTTGGATTACTTTAAAAAAATTATTCTTGAGAGCCTGACAAAACTGATCTTACTTAACAACAAATAAGCAACTGATCCAGAAGTGAAACCATTTGGTTTGTAAAGACATTGTCATCAGCCTTCTCATATCTTAAGAATAAATAGGAGGAAGGCCTCTTTAATCAAATCTGGTGGAACCTCTTTAGTAATAGTAGTGTTTAGGGGTAGAATGAAGATTTACATCATAGATTATTAGCAATAGATCAAGACTTTTCTGTTGCAATTATATTTCTGTTAATAGGGTTCTGTTGTAGCAATCTTTATATAAATAAGACATGGCAATTACATGTTACAATATGTGAAAGTGTCAATAACCTGTGTGTGTGTGTATGTATATATATGTATATATATGCGTATGTATGTATATATATGTATACAAGTATAGAAGTGGAGAGAGAAAGAGAAATTTCTGCCATTTTCCATAGTCTTTATTATCAAAAACAAGGTCAAAGTTTCTTTTTCATCTAAATGACATGGAAAGTTTTCTCAAATTATATTCTGCTATGGTACTAAGAAAATAGTAAAAGCTTCTTCTCAATGTGTGTTCCAGGTATGGAAGAATCAAAGCCAACAGTTATACTGAGGTTCACTGACCTCATGAAAATACATGGAAACATGAGAACGAAGCTATATTGCAAAAACATCCAAATCCTAAAAGCTGGCTCATGGCACTGTTACATCGGTGGGGTTTTTTTTGTCTTTAAACGTTAGCTCTTGTATTGATTCAAGAGATGAAAACTCTAAGTGTAGAAGTAAAAGAACTATATTACATAAGGGATGTTTTGGTTTGCTTCTAGAGGAGAGTGCAATGAAAATAAGTTATTTGCTGGCATTTGAAAAAATGTGTTCAAAGTTTTACCTCTTTCACTGCACTTATAGGCAGGTCTCTCATAACTGGTTTAAACAATTTTTTACATACCATGTAGAATTGGGAAGTTTCTAATATGTAATGCTATGAATTTTGAGGAAGGTAAATGGATTATGTAGGACTGCACTTGAAGTGATGTTCTCTGTTGGTATACTGCCTATTAATTTATCTTGTGAAGATACTGGCATAACTTTATACTGCTTTGGAAGTTATTCAACATTTTAAACCACACAAGACTGAAGAACACATACGTTTTGAACTCAACAAAATGAGACGAGAGTGAAGAGTTTACATACACACACACATGCAGTTCTACACAGTTCACTTGTGCCTTGAGGGATAGTATTATTATCACTATTATTAATAATAAAAAACACAATTTGTCCCAGTAGTACTGGCCACCCTGTTTGAAGAGTTTTAGAAGATCCCTGAGCACATCGTTTCTGACTCTTAACCCCAACTCCAAAGTGATAGGGCTTCTATTGTTGATATCAAGATGGATTGTCATTCACAGTAAGTCAATCATAAGGTGCTTATTTACCCTTTTTTTTTTCACCAATCAGCACAAAGAACTGTCAGAAAATAACTTTTTATTATTATTATCTTAAAATAATAGCACTGGAAGGACACATGATTTAAACAATCAATGTTTGAAAACAGTGGCTTTAGGATTATTATCTGGCTGCCCCTCAACAATAACAAGTGATTCAATCGACATTCCTTAGCCAAAAACAAAAGGCAAAAACAAAAACAAAAACAAAAACAAAAAACCCAAAAAACCAAAACCAAAAACCAAAAAACCAAAACTGTACAAATATGTATTTTTTCCCTGAGGGATCAAGGTACACCCGCAAGTGCTCTATGTACATATTGCACTAGAGAGGAATGAAGAACATGTGCAAAAAAGCAACAATGAGAGAAGCTTACATCCTACTTAAACCTTTTCAATAAAGATTCTACTATGTTGTTTTGCATTTTGGAATGTCGGAACACAAACAGCTATTCCTTAGTCTAAAACTAAAAACACATATTTCTACTATGGCACATTCAATGAAATAAAAAGTTTTCCAAAGACAGATAGACAAATTCCATCAAGAAAATAATACAAAGTTTGTTTGTTTGTATTTTTTTTTTTAGAAAATTACATTTCTTTCTTTGTTTCACATTACAAAATCTTTTTTTTTTTCCTTTACACAAATCACATTTTATTGCAGGAATATTTCAAGTGCCATCAAATATTTATAGAAGGGTTAAAAAAATAGAAGTCTCTCTAAAGTGGTCCAGACAAGGCTTTGTATAGAATAAATCTTTTTTTTTTCCCCATCTTCTAGTTTTGATTTAAGTATTTTGAATACATTTTCTTTTCCATTGACACTTAGTAGCCTAGAAGCGGTCCGACACACACACATCATACACACGAAAACCACACACACACACACACACACTCTCTCTCTCTCTCTCTCTCCCTTCTCACCTGGCCCTCAGCCCACCCCCCTACGCTCACAGAGATCTGGGTATCCACACTATAAAGAACAACCAAACTTAGAAGCAGTGTCTTAAGTTATATTTTCCTTAAGTTAGGAAGGGTGAATTAGGATGCTGAAGACTTTTTAAAAAATCTATAGCTTTAACGCAAATTGGGATGCTGAACACTTAAAAAAAATCCATAGCTTTAACACAATTTGCAAACTGTCCAAAAAAGCACTTTCATCTGCACTTTTGTTTTCATTGTGACCAAGGCCAGGTTCTTCAGAATATAATGCAACCATCTGACACCATTGTAACCAAAAGTATTCAGGCTTTGTACAAAAAGCCTTATGTACCCTCTATGAAAAAACTGTATTAAAGGCATCATAGGAGCTGGGATAACAATGATGTGATTCCAATCTTTAAAAGACTACTGGATATTTAAGTTTAGGAAACTTTAATCATTAGAACTCTTAACAATCACTGTTCTGTATCACCAAGTAGTTGTGTCCTCACACAGGTGTTTCTATAAGAAGAAAATAAAAATGCAGAGTTTTTCATATCCTTTTCTATACTTCATTTTTTAAAACTGAATTTATTGTTTAACTTCTGATCCCAACTTTGATCCAAATCCTAGTTGTTCCCTCTGTTCACCGAGCACGCCTCTCCTGCTCTGTCCCTACACTGCCAATGTATTTTGCTCTTCCTCACCTTGCTTTTCTTTCAGAAAGACCTGGTAGCAGCATCATGTCAATGTATGTTGGTTTATTCTAAAAGCAATGTCACCATGGTGTGACGACTACTGAGATTAAGCATCTTTTTTTGCATTTGGTACATGCAAAGTCCTTTCTGGGAAAAGGAATTTCTTTTAAGCTCAACATTATGCTCTCTCTCACCCTTAGAGAAGTTCAGTTAGCTCTTATCACTTCACAAACGGACACTGGAATTAGGTTTAGTTGCTCTTTAATGCGCTAGCACCTGAGGCTGGTCATATTCAGAAAGCTTTGGTTAAAAAGAAGTTAATACACTTTAATAAAACCATACCCAAATTTAGTGACTCAGAATGACAAAAACCAAAAAACAACCCCCCCCAAAAAACCCCAACACATTACCCCCCCCCAGGAGAAACAACAGGAAAAATAAATGGACAAATAAATAACTGAACTAAGCTTGGTACTCTTTTCAGAGTATAAATACTATTGATCTTTAAAGGAACTATGCTTATTTAAATTAAAATTTTGATTTCACCCTTCTTGCCCAAATATAAATACTATATGTTTAGTTTACCTCTCTATATAAACACTCACATAAAGTTTAATATACTTGTAAGAAATTTAAGTAGATATTACTCTCATCTTCTATTTATGGTTAAACCCTTACTATACTTTTGAAAAAAAAAATTAAGATGTTATTTAGGCTTCATACACACTTCTCTGTGAATAATTCCTTCCTCTTTTCCAAATCCCTCCAGAAACAAGTCAGAAAATCAGTTGGGGTTAAACCCAGAGTAAATGGCTCTGGGACGCCCCTGCTGTGATCCACGTGACATTAGGAGCCACAGTTCCTAGGGAAGATTCAGGAAGAGCCTGGGGGTAGAGATATTTTTTTGGCTATAAAGGGCTGTCTGGAAACTCCCACCATTATGCTATGGGATATTCCCTTTTCTGTATAACCATGGTCCTTCATGTCAGACCAGAAGTTTGAATCCCATCCGACTGACTAAAATCATCTTCTAAATGCTGACATTTCCAAAGGGCACTTATTTTAAAAATATGCACACTTGTATATCAGACTGTTCATTTTCCCTTCCCCCACTGGGAATTATTAAAATTTAAAAAAAATGAAATTAAACAAAAACACTCAATATTTCTCATCTGAACACAAAAGCCAAACATTCTTCTAAATATTTAATAAAATAAATTACAGTCCACAGTTTTCTAGTGAAAATAAATACAAGAGTAAATGTTTGCGGCTAGCATCTTCACTTTGAATACTTAAAATATTTAATATTTAAATAAGAGAAACCGGTTCAGTGTTGCATAACTCCCTCGCCCTTCTGTCCATTGTCTGTGAAATATGGAGAGCTATATTCTAGAATTATAGCATCTAGAGGCAGCTAGTCTAGAGCTAGGTCTCTCTGAGATACACTCTTAGGGTTCCTAGATTAGACCAAGAACATAGGCATTCACAAAGTAAATGTTTCATGTCCTCACATGGGGAGTGTGTGTTTGCTCCAGATATAATCTTTGGGTCCTTCTTATAATAAAAGCTGAATTCCAATAAATATTTGGGTTACTGATTTATCCTCAAAGCATAAGAATTCCAAGTTGAGACTGAGTCCGTATAACTACTGAATTGTATGAAATGAGCCTCCCGTCCCTCCCCTGCCTCCATGAGGTGGCACTTAAAAAAGCTTTTTAAAAATAACGTGCATGATGGTATAAGTCCATAGCACCAATCGACCATTCAACTTTGTATGAAGCATAAACACATCTATCCTTGAGCTTACCAAAAAGCAAAGTATAATTTAGGGAGAGTTCCGTTTCTAATACCAAATGAAGTGTAAAAAAACAAAACAAAACAAAAACAAACCAATAATCCGCATCATGATTTCTAGATATGACCAGCCAGTCTTTTCAAAGTAATTTGTAAACAGCAGCATAAATACCTCCTGACGTACCTTCCAAGCCTTCTCAGTTAAACTTGTGTTTCTGGTGCACATGCGACACGACAGTGAACACGCTAGCATTTCATTTAAAGAAAAAGGTGCAAAATGAAAGTGCCTTATCAATTCAACAGGAAAAGCTACACCAGTAACTACATTTTATATTAATTAAAACAATATATAAACAATATCTCTTTTAGCTATATATAGTCTTCATGCCCATTTACCCTGTAATATATTATAATGCTATCGTTGCTAGTGCTATGGACCCTTTTCATGCCATCCTGCTGACTGGCAATAATCGGTGAAAAAAATAAAAACTTCCTTCATGAAACAAAGAGCAGGTTGTGCAAAGTCATGCCGCCACCTCCGCTATGCACACCGGGCACCGATTATTGCCGGACTCTCTGTTGTTACCGACAGATTGGTGACTCTGCAGAAAGTCTGTGGGCAGTGAGCTACAAGAAAAGGAAATCCTCCGACTTTAGTACCCTCCTTCAGTTGTAAACAGAGGTCAATGATCAAGAAGTTGAGACAGAAAAAGGGTCCATATCTGTAGGCATAATGGAAATCATATGCATGAGAAAAACAAGTTCAACTTTTATTTGTTTTCATTGTTTCCCCTCCTTTGCCTGACCCCATCACCAAAAGATGTGCAGTGTGTTGGCGCTCCAGGTCTGTGCAGGGCCATATAAAGTGTCTCGGTTAATATTTTTGTTGTTGCTTTTCATGGTTTATACTTCAGACATTCTAGAAGTGCTTAGGTGATACATTTACCCATCAATTTGCATTGCTGGCTCAAATTCTGAAGTGAACAACTCCTTGTATAATGGAGGAAAATGAAGTCGTACAATGTCTGGGTATATTGCTTTAAATGCCATTAGCTTTTCTGTATGTCGTCCACATAAGGCTCTTAATGTAGACACCTTGCATATTAACTGTAAGTGGAAGAAAGGACACGTTGTGAGGAAAGAACAGACATGAGCATCAAAAATCAGGGAATCTGGATGATCTTTACAACGTTGTTTACAAAGGTGAAACATACTCGAAGCGGCTTATATGATCTTCCAAGGAGGAAGATTGGTAAAGACAAATTTTAGGCATGTCATAGAATACCAGGTATACATTAAATACTATTTTGAAGACAAATAATACAATAACCTGAAAAGATGTTCATGAGCAAAAGTGGCAGAGTTGAGATAAGAACTCAAGCCTGTCACCTCCTTCTCCTATTCCAAACATACTTTCTGCTCTCCCATCCCCAAACCTGTCCTCCACCGCTGTGGACAAAGAAGATGTCTGGTGACGGAGAAGAGAACAAGAGGCAATCATGGGCAGGTGAGGTCACTGCAAATGGAGATGATGGCGTCCCCTACATATTTTATGCAGAACCTGTACTAGCCAACTCCAATGACAGCAAGTTTCTTTCTGGAAAGACCTTTGCTTGGACAAACCAATTCTGGGTCTGAGTAAAAGGCTCAGAAGAAAGAATAGTCAGAAGGCCTGGAGGGAAGTCTCAGCATCAACCATTTAGCAGTTGAAGACAATAACAACTTGAAACAATGCTTTTTAAAGTCCGAAACACTGTACAAACGATGTATTATTTCAACCAGAATAATCCTAAGAAACATATGTGACAGATCTTGCCATGTGTTAGGTGCTCTCTATAATGAAAGAACCTAATTGTATCCTTGCACTGGGGCAAGATGGAGAAGAAAGTAAGGGTCTGGAGGGTTCTTCTATTTTCCATTCCTGTCTCCATCTCTCATTGAACGGGTGCAAAATAAAAACAAAACAGCAACTAACCCTCAACTTCCTCTCTCTGACCTAACTTAGCTATCAGAAGAAAAGAAAAGAAAGCAGGAGAAGAAACCCAAACCCCTCAAATCAATCTTCTTGAACAACTAAAATAGTTTTAGGAAGAATACAGCTAATTTTTCGAAGACCGAATACATACTACTAGCGCAAGCACTGAAGAATATTAGCATATTTTAAATTGACATCCTAATTATATTTTTATTGCAAAAAGTAATAATTAGCAAAAATGAAGCCTTATGCTTTGAATACAGGGTAGTAATGGGAAGTAGACGAAGAAAATACAAAAGTCACTTTCTGTTGATTACTAATGAATGGAATGGAAATAGAACTAATATTAGAATATGTGATTATCCTGCTTGTTTTAGTCCTTTGTAACTTCCTCCTTCTAAATTCAAAGATTCTTTCTCTAATTTATATCAATGTAGAACATTAACTCAGCTTTATGCACAACTTAGATGGAATAGGAGGAGGATTTCCAGAATGTATTAAATGCTTAAAAAAATTTTTTTCTACCATTGCCCTATTATTGCAGGACACTTCACAATCAATGATTGTAAGTAGAACTTAAGCTGAATTTTGGCCCAACCAAGTTTTTTGAAATGGAGATATTTCTTTCTTTTCAGTAGCCTATTGCTTATGGGTACTTCTGGGGGCTGGTAAGATGACTTTTAAGGGTGGCTGGCAGCAGGAACTGTGGCAAGGGATGGTTCAGGCTATGCCAACCGCACTACCTTTCCCTCTTACCTTTGTTAGTATTCCATCTTCTCGGTGATTCTTCTGCAGGACGTGTTGAAGAGCTAGCTGAATTTTCTGTTGCAGTTTTTCAATTTTTACCTTTTCCTGCAGCCACGAGCGATCTAAACATGAAAAACGATACTTCTTAGTGTTTCTCTTATGTGGTATTGGGACACCCCAATTCCTCCGGACTCTTAGATACAGGTTATTATGCCACAATGGAGAATTAGAGAACAATAGGCCAGTTTTACTCCATGTTCAAAATTCGCTCCTAAAACAGTGGAAAACTGATCTACAATAGAGTGGTAAATCTTTCTATTTTTACTGACACTTAAAGGAGGGGAAAGTCCTCTCCTTCCAAAAGGATAGATATTTAAATCTACGGCCATACATAAGGGCAAATGAAACTACCACGGGTGCTCAAATCTTTCTAATAATTACATTTCTGGATGAAATACTCATAGCAATCCTGCTAGCCCTTCTGGCAAATATGAAAATTGCCTTAGAATCCAAGGCAACTAAGATTTTCAAGAGCATTCCAAATGATTTCAGGGTTGTTAATTCAGTCTTTATGTGTAAGAATTCCAAACGGAAGACAGTAAATTTGCAAAACAGAATATACCCAGGAGGCAGTACTGGTTGAAAACATAGCTTAAATTCGGATAAACTTGTGGATGACATCCAGATAAATCTTAAAAAAAAAGTAGGATGTCTTAAAAACCATGTTGTCTTGGAGATATGAGTTAAGAAGGGCAACCCTACTCTACCAGAGCATTTCTCGTGATATCAGGAGGTTAACTATGGACTGGGTTTTACTCAATTCTCATTTCTTAAGATTTTGTCAGAATGGCATGAGGTCTTAAACAGGTAATGTGTATGTGGGGGGGGGGGCGTTTTTCTGTTTGATAAAACTTAAAATTAGATTTAATAAGGGTGGCAACCTCTCTTGTTAGGCACCTGAATGTTCTAGAGCCATTACAACTTATGTACCTTCTAAGAAATCTTTACCTGAACACTTTTTAAAGCATTGCATTGTTCTTTGGTTATCTTACCTGCTGACATTAGTACAAATGCAGAAAATAACGCAATTTCATCTTCAGTCAGGTGCATAGAACATAAACTCTTTCCAAATTCAAATACAAAGCTAATAAAGTCTTCACAACCTGCCAAGGTTAAAGACAGTTTAAGATTTTGGTTACTATTTTGGAGAAAAATATGGAATAAGGTGAAAAGGATCTAGTAGTTGAAGATCCAAGAGGATAGTAATAACATTTCTACAGTTCAACAGTTTAAAATCTTAAAAGAAAAATCTGTTTAGCCATCATCACTATCACCACTGTCCTCACCATTCAAAATATTGAGAATGAACTTTTGTTGCAAGGTTAGCATGTTATTAGGTACCACTCTAAGAGGTTCCTTTGGGTACCATATTGCTCACAACAACTCTGCGAGGGAGGTATTATTATTATTATTATTATCCCATTTTAGAGGTGAGTAAACAGACCTGGAGAGAAAAATTACTTAAGTTTATACACGTAGGAAGAAACAGCCTGATATTCAAAACCAGGCTGCCTGAGTTTAGGACCCGCAATCTTAAAAACAGAGTCGAGCAGCTACAATCCAACTGAAACGTGACATTCACTGATTTTTTTTGTTTTCTACTCTATTTGATCTAAGCCACCCTTAAAAATGAGAACAAATGACACAATATGGTCATAAAATCATTATAGCTATTATAGAACTAAAAATGTAGAATGTGAAAGTCTTATTAATAATCCATTCTCAAAAGACTGGTTAAGCTTGGGGCCGCCTGGGTGGCTCAGTTGGTTAAGTGTCTGCTTCCAGCTCAGGTCATAACATCAGGGTGTGGGACTGACACAAAAGTTGGGCTCCCTGCTCAGCAGGGAATCTTTTTCTCCCTCTTCTGCTGCTCCTGTCCCCTGCTCATACGCACTTTCTCTCTCTCCCTCTCTCAAATAAATAAATAAAATCTTAAAAAAAGAAAAAAAAAGGATTGGTTAAGTTTGGTATCTACTCTTTTAGATTTGCATATTATATATACCCATTTAAATGGTAATGACTTTCCTAAAGTATACAGACCTTCTGTCATTTCATTGTTTTTATTTTTTTTCTTTCTTTCTTTTTTTTTTTTACTTCATCGTTTTTAAAATCACTTAACTTTATTTTGGATACTGTTTCATTCTTCTTAGTGATTATATCCCACTTTATTTAAATTATAGAAATCCAAAATAATTTTTATAGTCTATGTCAGTTTCATTTAGCTATACTTTATTTCTTTGATATCTACATTTCATTCTTATTAATGGGTATTATTTGAGAAGTACTCTTTGCTTGATTTTATGCATCAGATTACATCTTCTAGTTTCTCTGAATAATTTATCCAATGAAAATCTTTTTTTTAAAGATTTTGTTTTATTTTAAAGATTTTGTTTATTTGACAAAACAAATATTATTATTTATTTGACAGACTGAGATCACAAGTGGGCAGAGAAAGAGAGAGGGGGAAGCAGGCTCCCTGCTGAGCAGAGAGCCCAATGCGGGGCTCGATCCCAGGACCCTGGAATCATGACCTGAGCCGAAGGCAGAGGCTTTAACCCACTGAGCCACCCAGGTGCCCCTCCAATGAAAATCTTCTTAAAATCTGCAAGGGAACTAGAAGGTTAGACAATATAAATTTCTTCGATTACAGACTAGATAAAACAAAATGCTAAACCTTTCAATGTACTATAGACAAAAACCATTTGAGCTGTGTGAATTTTCTGCAGTGACTATAAAGTAACATAAGCATAAAATCCTTTAATTTTTGTTTCCAAATAACAGTTTCCGTTCTGTTCAGTAAGCTCTTTGGCAGGGCTCCCCCACTTTCCTACGGCCCTGATTTAAAGACAGAGCACCCAGATTTCCTTACCCAAGGATTTGAAGACATCGGGGCTAGCATATTTCCCATCAAAGTACACGGTGTTGTTCTGAGAGTCGAAGGCACGGCACATTCTGATAAACACCACCTCTAGAGAACCTAAGTGAAGACAGAAATGGTGTGGATTATCTTATCGTGGTAAATATTTATCTACTGTGAAAGCCCTAATATAGGGACACCTTTCTGATTCAGTGCAGTGGGGGCTGTATGCCCTGTGGCCAATGGCTCTCAGTCACATCAGCTCTCTATTTATTATTATTTTTTAAAGATTTTATTTATTCATTTGAGAGAGACAGAGGGAGTGAGAAAGAGAACACGAGTGGGGTGAGGAGCAGAGGGAGAAGAGGGCTCCCCGCTGAGCAGGGAGCCCAATGCAGGGCTCGATTCTAGGACTCCAGGATCACGGCCTGAGCCGAAGGCAGATGCCAACTGAATGAGCCACCTAGGTGCCCCTAAGCTCTCTATTTAAAGGGGCACAGTTTACCAGCGTAATTAAAGATTTATGCTGAAGCAAACTATGGCCAAGCTAACTATGCCCTATATTTCTGAAGAGAGGCGGGGTTACAAATTACTCCTCTGGCATTCTTCTGTCTTGCAATAGAGTCTCAGGGTTGCCAAGGAAAACGTATTGATTCATATTTATTAAAACAAACCAGAGGGGGAGACAAACCATAAGAGACTCTTAATCTCAGGAAACAAACTGAGGTTTGCTGAATGGGAGGGCAGTGGGAGGGATAGGGTGGCTGGGTGATGGACATTTGGGAGGCTATGTGCTATGGTGAGCGCTGTGAATTATGTAAGACTGATGATTCACAGACCTGTACCCCTGAAACAAATAATAGATTAGATGTTAATAAACATGCAAACAATAACATAAACAAACAAACAAACCAAGAAACCAGGGGTGTCCCTTTGAGTTCCACAGAGAACATTCCTAACAACTTACTGTTACCTCCCAAGGGTCTGGAGTGGGTGTCCTTCAAATTAATTGTTTCACTCAGAGGAGAAACAAAATGTTTCCCACAGATAGATCAAAAACCATTAAAAAGGACTCAGTTGCTGCTAGAAGAAACCTGAGCTATTATCATTGGGGAAAAACTGTTCCCAACACCTTCCTTACCCAGCATTTCTTTAATAGGCGGGTGAAAGCAGGTTAGGAAGAGATCTCAAAATTCACTTGCAAAGCACATACCTGCTTTGAGAAGCACAATTTGATCATTTTGACACAGTTCCATAAATCCGTCAATGCGTTTGGCAAACTCCACCACATACTGTATAGCTTCCGTGATTTTGATGGCACACAACTGCCACATCACCTCTCGCTGCTGCAGAGGAGCAAAGCACAGCAACACACACGGTCACCCATATCCCAGACACGGGTTTTTAACTGCCCCTATTTTGTCAAAGCCTTCTTTGGAAATGGATTTAAAAAAGCTAGAGGATTAAAAATTAACATTTGGGTTATAATGATTGCTTCCGAGTGCCTTCTCGTCTCCTCTGATTCCTCTGTTACCATTTTGGGGGAAGATGTTATAAGCAGGTGAAACTGTGAGTCCGAAAAGCAGCAGATGCCACTGCTTGACCCTTGGGCCTCGGAGAGTAGCTCAGTAGGATCTTCTTGTGAGCAATTATTGTACCTTGGGGAACATAACACCATTTTACTGGAGGCAAGGTAGAGAAGGGGAGTCAATTACATTTATCGTGCACCTGCTTTGAGCTAGATGCTATATGACATCCTTGTCTTGTTTCATTTTCCCATTTTCCTAAGTGGACGTAAATTCTCTTAGAGGTTTCATGGCTAGAAGGTGTTGGAGCCGGGATTCAAATCCTAGCATCTCTGACTCAGAATCCCATTTCACATGCCCTGCTGTTTCTTACTGCTTTCTCATTTCCCTTTCTAACAATACTGGCTGGCTGCTGGTGTTACCTGCTATCTCAAAGGCAAAGTGATTCCTATCTTGTTTAATTGCTTTTGTATACCCACTTCCATTTAGTTATGGGGGATATGGATCTTAATACAATTTCCAACAATATGATGGGGTGAAGGAAACACTGAATTAGGAGCCAGGAGTCATGATCTAGTCCTGGTATTTTCACTCTCCTGCCATACGCCAAGGGATGCTAATATCCTCATATGTTAAATGAAGGGGAGGATTAGCTTGAAGAAACCCTGCCGCCCCTCCTAGGCCTACCTACATCTCTATAATTATTGGGGAAAACCACAGCATCTCCCTTTACCAAGGCAGAATGGGTAACTGAGACTTCCCCTTCTCCAGCCCTGCCCTCCCATGCTGGTGGCTTGTGGATCAGTGTGTAAAGAAAAAGGCAAGGAGCAGCACCCTTTGTCAGTTGCACATTGCTAGGTTCAGACTGGAGTTATGAGAATAGCTTCCAAACCTTTTTCACACATCCTCTAAACCTCTGAGGCTGAGATTATTTTACGTCAACTTCCAGACCTTGAAATCTTCCACCGTGATATCAGGACAACTCTCAATTCATTCGGGCTTTTGGACACTGATTCCTCTACCCCCCATTGCCAAATGATAGGAGATACGTGTATATAGTCATTGGCCTGAGAGAATTTGTTTGTATTGCTGAAATTTCACACACTTGCACCTCAGTAAGACGACGAAGTCCCAAGTATATGATCATCTCTAAAAGAAAGATTTTAAACAGAAATCTGATATCTGATGAAAGACAGTCACTCTCTAGTCTGTATTCTTCAACAGATGGCCCGCATAAACACCCCTCCCACTCTTGCCTCAATCCTGGGTAAAAATCTTCAGAGTATATACCTTGTTTTGGTAGCTCTCGATCTCCTCCTGCAGAAAGGTCTGCCACGTTATCTGCTGGAGCTCTTCTCTCAAGTATTGGCAAGTTTCCAGATGTGATTTAGATATATTCTGTGCAAGGTGTTCTAAGGAGAAAACAGGAGATCATAAACATGAAAAACCAAGCTCTTCTCTGGATAATCAGGGTTTTTCCTGCTTAATAATTGGTTTAAAAAGTAACAAGTAAGAAAATAAAGTAAAAGTAAATAAAAAGTAACAAGTACAAAGCAACATGCTGAACCAGTTTCAATTATCTTTACATTTTTAAATAAGCAATTTGGAACTATTCTATATTTTGGAACATGAAGATGAAGGACAGGCAACGCCAATACTTAGCAATAAGTCTCGGTGACTTCAAAGACCCTCCTGACCTTGATCTTCTTCTGTGGCTTTACACCAATGTCTGCGAATGAACAATTATTAGCCCAGATAGGTGTGGGAAATGACCAACACAGCCTATTCTTGGCATTTTTATGAAGAGACATTGACCTGGGGAGGATTACTCTTGAAAAATTAGGAAATGGTATGCTTTTGTGAAAACAACTGTTTATTTCTTTTATTTTTCCAGCAAATAGTACAACAAGCATTACTGAAGGCCTATTATGTCACTATATATAGGGTGGTGGTTGAGAGATGGACTCTGGCACCAGACAGCCAGTGTATGAAACTCAGCTCTTGTACCTACCAGCTGTATGATCTTGGGTATGTTACTCAGCCTCTCTGTGCTTTGGTTTCCTCACTGCAAAATAAGGGAAACAGTACCTACTTCATAGGCCTGGTGAGAATTAAATGAGTTGAGCGCTTAGAACAGTGAGGGTTACCTAGTACACACTACGTAAACATTTGTTCTTATTATACTGGAACGTAGGTAGTTTGAGGATATTAAAACAAATAGATGCCTAAGAAGTTTCTCTAGGAACTTATAATCTGATGAACATGTATGGGAACACTGAAAGGACAATTCAAGACATTAGGCAATAAAGCATCAACTTGAATTACATCAGAAGAGAAAATAGAGAACAGGTTCTGCCATGGAAGGGAAAGATGAAGAGAATTAGAGGATGCTTCTTGGCAGGAGAGAAACATCTGAAGTGGACCCTGAAGGAAAGGGAGGATTTGGCAGGCAGAGGACAGCGGTGTGAAGAGGCGAGCTGGTTCCACATTCCAGGGATGATAGATGAAGGAGCAAATAATGGCATTTACAGGGGACAGGCAGATGTGTGATAAAGTGATAGCACCCAAACAGAAGCATGAGTAGGTAAGGGTCCACATTCTGGAGAATCTCAAATATTAGGATTAAGGTTTGGACCTGCTTAAGGAGTCCGTGGAATTCTCTAGGGGGAGCTGGCACACGGAAGGCTGTATGTGGGGCAACAGAACAAGCAGTTTTGTGACTGGTGGACTGGAGCAGAGGCTGGAGCTGGGAGCACCAGCGAAAGGCTGCAGCAACCCGTGTGGGCGGGACTAAGCGCTTTAGGTAGGTCAGTAATAAACGCTACGGAAGGGAAGGACAATGCAAGTATTTTAAGGGGAACTGACAGAATTCCATGAATATGAAACCATATCCCAAAGGGATCTTCTTCTAGGGTCCTGATTACATAACAGGAAAACCCATTTAAAAGAATGGTGCTAAATGAAAACTTGGCAACACTAGTAAGAGGGTCTGTTTGGAAATGTGTCACTACTTTCGGCAAACAGATTCAGACTTGTTTGTGTGAAAACAGAGTGGGTTCACCTAAATGAAACTCGAAACTAGAGTCTCCTTAGAAACACTGAAACACAATAAATCTTAACAGCCCTATTTGGCAGCACACAGACATGAACACAATATAAATAAATACCAGGAAAATAAAACACAAACAGAAGAAAAAAATTAAAGGAAAGAAAGAAACAGAAAGTGACCAAAAGAGGGAGAAACCAGCAATTTATGTGTCTTAGAAACAGTGATGCTTGTGGAGAGAAGAGGGCAGTAAAGACGAAAACAATGAGTCAGAATCAGGAAAACAAATGTGTATATAGTAAACCAATTTTTGCAGACACGAAATAAAATGAAGATGAAGTGTTTGCAGGGAAGCTGGGGGAATCCTATGAGGTGACGAATGGTAAGAAGCACATAGTATTCCCTTCTAGATCATGCTTCTTTTCCAGTTAATATGGTCAGCATCTTACTTCATCTTAAAAATTGTTCCCACCCACCCCTACCTATTTGAGCCCACCTTTGGGAAGACAGACAAGGAATAGCGTAATGTACATGTCAAACCAGTAGAGGGCAGTGGCTGCATTCTCACCAACCGCCTTTGATTACAATTCACAGTTGATTTGGCAAGTGTAAGATTTCAGACACTTTACTATTTTTAAATCTCCATTTCAGCAAAGGACAATATGGTCAGACTGAGCAAAAGTTAAGTTAGTGTGGTCTCAGAGAAACACTCTGGAATAGTGAAATACCGTGGAACTAGGAGTTAGGAGACCTGGTTTCTGGTCTGTGCTCACCAGATAAACTCACTTTGTGATGGACAAATCAGTTCATCTTCCCAACCATGATTGTTTCTTCAACACAGCTAAGGTCTAGGTACTTCAGATGGAATTTCCTGATTTCTGAGTTAGTCACAGATTTTCACAGCGGAAAGGAACTTTAGATGGTCCAGCCTCTCCTCAGTTTATAGATAGTAACACCATTAATAATGTTTAATAGCATTTACTATGTGCTAGCCCCATATAACTTATATATATGTATATATACGTATATATCTATATACATATATTCTGAATATGTATATTTTCCTCATCTTCATAACGATTCTAGGAGGAAAGTGGTATTATCTCCCTTTTACAGATGATGAAACCAAGTGAGGTTAAGTGACTTTTTCAAGGTATAATAGCAGGCAACTGGCAAGAGATTGAAACATACATAATTTGGGGCCAGTCTGTTCTTCATCATTATATTCTGTAAGTAGGGAAACTGCAGCTTGCAGAGGTACATGACTTATAGTGGGTTACACAACCTATAGCAAACCTAGGACCACAAAACATATAAGCTGACTTCTTGACTAGTGCTTTGTCCAATAATCACTTGACTCTTCTGCAAAAGGCTTTAGTTATCAATTATAGTGACATGTGCAGTTAGCTTTATTTTTTAAGTGAACCCAGATTGTTTATCTGGAATGTATATTTCTGGTACTAATTGTACCTTAAGGGCAAAATTTCCTAGCCAGGAATGCAGATGTATTGCCACTAAAAGTAATGGATTGTAGACACTATTATTGAAAGAGAGAATTGAGGTTAAGATATGTCAATTTACAATTTATTTTCCAACTGTATAATTGGTTTCATTGGTTTAAAATCTGATGACAAAATTTTGCCTAAAATGAAGTCAACGGCGTTAGTTAAAATGACAGTAAGACTGGAATCACTATATTGTTCACCTGAAACTAATAAAACTCTGTATGTTAACTATACCGGAATTAGGGGAAAAAAATAGCAGGATTTGAGGCCCCAAAGGAAATACTAGGGAACCCCAGATGGCTTTGAAGAAGGACCAGCAACATCTTTGGCCACCTCTATGTTGCTCAATTCCTCCAAATATTTTGTACAGGTAAATGGGAAAGAAAATTAGAATCCAATTATATTCTTCTTAGACAAATTCTTATTTAGTTTTGGGTTTGGGACTAATCCCAGTGATGAATTAATTTTACTGATCCAGAAAAATGCCAAAAGACATGTAAAAAGCTCCCAATTTAGGAGAGCATGGAGGACATTTGAGGGCACAGGGCTCCCAGACTGCAGTGGGAGATGTGGAAGAGACACTGACCAGACGGCCCAAGGGGCATTGGCTTTTCCATTTCTGGACCCTATTAGTGCACGCTTAGCCAAAGGGCCATATTTAAGGGCAATGCTTTGGCTAAGCCCTATGGATTTATTTTGGGATTGAACGTTTGACAAGCAAACAGGACAGATTTACTAGTATTTATGATAAGGTGGAAGCAAACTGAAAGTGAGCCAGGTCATTTTTCACGATATCATGTCAGCTTTCAATCAAATCCTTACTCATTTCTGAAAATTTTACTTTCATTACAGTTCTGCTTAAGTCGCGGCCAACCAAGATTTCATGACAAAAACGGAAGGTTTTTGTTCTAGTTCAAGAAAAAAATATCAAACCTACCTCTTCTCAGCTTGGCTTCTAGTTCAGAGGTTCCTCTGTTAATCAAAAGAGCTGAAATCCACCTTTAATGCTGTTCAGTGGTTAAAGACCAAGCTTAAAATGTCCCTGCTCTTGAGGATTTAAATTTAGACCCATAAAGAGGTACTTGTGTAAAAACCGTCAAGAACATTCAATTTGTTCTATTTGGAGAAAGATTTTACTGGAAATATAAATTTCACTTAAAAAATGTTTTATGGAGTACAGAGGTGGAGAAACCATCTAAAGAACACAACTGTTATTTCTGTGAACTAAGGGTGTCTGTGCTCAAGTCAGAACCTGCTGGTTCTTTTCCATCTGAAGTCTTCATTCTCTCCTCGTGTTAAGTTAGTCCCCTCCACAGCAACTAATTGAAATATCCCAAAGGACTATAACCTTGTGTGAGGAGTCACGGGGAGGAGCACGTCAAATTCGAACACTGCAAAATTTCTTATCCAAGTTTCTCTAATAATAGTGTTGTACCTAAAAATCGATCAAATGTTGTAACGGGTTGCTAACACAACTTCCTGGAAATGGCAAGTCTTCCAGTGTCTGTGTTCTACCAACATTTCTAGGTCACATCTCCCAAAAAGCAACAATGTCACACAGGATTAAGGAGATGTCAGATTTGTTTGTTTTTGCCTGGTAAGTTTTCTATGAACTCTATCAGTTTTGTTACCAATATCCATCACCAGACCATTTTGGAAAATAAAGAAGCCAATTTCCCTTTAACATTCATAGAATACATCAGGGTTGGAAAAAATCTACAGGAGCTGGGCAGCGATATAAAATGGGAAGACATGTCAAGGTGTTAGGGCTTTACTGGTGCCAATTGGTTGTTGCCATTCACCAGTGCTGGTCCAGTATAACTAGGTCATTTTTCCCTTCTCACAAGAAGCTGAAAATCTGAACTTTGAGGCAGGACTGTCTAGGTTTAAAACTTTAGCAACCAGTTCAAAAATGTTTAAAACTCTGCATGGGTCCAAAACTGTGTATGGCCCAGGTCCAGTGGGTGGGCTGCCATTTCTATGACTTCAGTTATAAAGCAACACCTGGACAATAACTAAAGGAAATAATGAACAAAGTTAATGGGGCCATTCCCTGAGTTTACAGTTTCTGTGGCATTTAAAGACTGCTTCAAGGGGCGCCTGGGTGGCTCAGTGGGTTAAAGCCTCTGCCTTCGGCTCAGGTCATGATCCCAGAGTCCTGGGATCGAGCCCCGCATCAGGCTCTTCACTCAGTGGGGAGCCTGCTTCCTCCTCTCTCTCTGCCTGCCTCTCTGCCTACTTGTGATCTCTCTGTTTGTCAAATAAATAAATAAATAATCTTAAAAAAAAAAAATAAAGACTGCTTCAAGTTCACGCTGCCCCATCTCTGATACGGACAGGTCAACGTGTTTCCTGGTATGCGACGGGAAACAAAGGACAATCGAAAGCGAGGGGGCAGGGTGGAACTTTGAAGGGGTCCAAATAGTAGAGGTGTATCATTCTAATAATGTAACTCATTAGAGGAAAGTCAAACACATCCCATTTACTTGAAAGGGCAGAAGAGGCACGTCCTAATGGACACATGGAGGCCATTACCTAATTCTGCCATGGACACAGTTGGGGACGTCTCTCCATTGGTGAAAGAACAGTAGGGAAAGAAGCCTGATGCTGGTGTGTAGTCACATATTGGTTCTGGTTTGATTCCATTGATATCAAGACCTGACTGGTCTGGGGAAGGCTGTATGTCCAGGTAGAAGCTGCTGACAGCAGAGTCTGCCTTGCTTCCCTCCGGGGTGTGCCCGTCGATGTAGTTGCTGAGGTCCTCGTGAAGCTCGGTGAGCCCGTTGGCCGAGATGTTGTAGGTGGGAGTCAGCGGCTCGGCCTCTCCAGGCTGCTGTTGGTGGTCTCGCTGCTGCTGCTGCATCCGGTGTTTTTGTACTTCTGCGTACAAGCTGTCTCTTTGCTTTTTTGACATCCGGCCAAATTTTACAGCTGGAAGAGAAAAGCCAGACCACACCATATACAATATGCTTTTCTTTATTATTCTCTCCAGCATGCGTTGGGGGTTCCTTTTAAGTCTCAGACAATCTCAATCAAAAACCACATCGCCACAAAAATAAGGACATGATCCAGAGGTGAAAACGGTCCCACCCCACACAGGCTTGCTCTACATCTCAGAGGAGCTATGTTTCAGAAACAGACCCAGGACTGGTGCAAGGGCAATGACCACATATGTCTTCCTGCTGTCACATAACCCGACGCTCAGCGGGAACCACTGATGTGTGACTTGATGGGCTTGTGTGTTCTCCGCCCATGCCGCTTGCCTTGACCACCTCTTTCTCTTCCCAGGGTTCAGACTGATGTGCAGGGATGCAGACTCACAGGGGTACACTGAGGCACAAGCAGCCGAACCTCAACTTCCATTCATTTCATTCATTCATTGTTCCCTCCTAATTAAACAGCCAAATCTGGGGCTTTGCTGTGAGACCTCAGCAATGAGGGCCCTTTGCAATTCCCTGACTTTTATCTCTGAGTCTACATGACATAAGAATCCCCCGCTTTCCTCCTCCTGGGTCACAGTGAACCCTGTGGAACCCTCAGGCCCACCTTTAAGTGACTTTCTGCTCTTCTCATTTACCCTCAAGTAAACAGAGTATCAGAATTTGGGGAAGAGCAAACACTGTGTAAATTTCCCTGTTGGGCAAATTTGTGTTCTCAGTGTTTCTCCTTGTGATGTGTCCCCATATTTAAAGTGGAACAATGAGTGTAGTACCTTTACTGTTCATTCAGAATCCCAAATGCTCTCTCCTAAAATGTGAGATAATTGATAAAAGAACCTTATGATTTCCTGGTCTGAACTCTCCCACTAACCCATGGTCTCTCAGCCCAATTCTCTGTATGCAGATAAAGCCTCAGCTGGAAAGATGAAGACCCCCTAATTGATTATGGTCACATTTATACCTGACTGGGTGGATGAACTCATCTATTTGACCATCATTATAATTCTATGAGTCTAGGGGCAGGAGGCCAAGAGAGATGGAAGTTGGGAACCAGAGACAACCACCTGGGAGATTTGTGTCCTGCCAAGGAGAACGTGCTGTCCCTTACACACAGGAAACATATGAGTGGGATCCTGATCAACTTCCAGAGTCCACAGCTCGGGTAACAAACTTGGGGCTGGTTAGGCAGCAATCAGGCCGCTCTGAGCTCGGATTTCAGGCCTGTCATTGTACAAGCCCCAACATTCACATCAAGCCCATAACATGCCGTGCTACCTCTGCGCAAAATCTCCAAGAGGCATACTGAAGGTACCCCCCCTTTTTTTTAAAAGACTACTCCAGAACTCCCAGAGGGATTGACAACCATAGGTGAAACTCATTCTGCTAATACTTTGAATTGTGTTTTAACTTTTGCCTTAATATCAACAAGAGTAATTATACTATACTGTAAATGAGAGGATCAGTTCTTGAGAAAACACACACACAACCAAAAACACACACACAACTAAAAACACACACACAACTTGTGACCTTAGCATATAAGTTCATATATAAGAGATATGCCTGATTTTGTTGGTTTAGTGCCTCTGAAAGATGAAATACGCCGAACTGCCTATCGCGGGCATTTCTGAGTACATAAGTTCTGTGACTTGCATCTTCCAATGCCCCAAACTTAATTTTTGTTCCTACATACTCGTAGTGGCCATCCCGTGCATCACTACTGACGTATATCACAGCTCGTGCCTGGGCTGGTCTACAGGCCCCAAGAACATCTGACCATGGGGAAGGCAGGCTTTCAGAACGCCTGCCCAGCATTCTGAAATATTTTCCACAGGCTGAGATTCCACTGGAAGAGATGTTTCCTTCAAGGGGATCTCTTAAGAGAGCCAGCATGTATGTTCGTAAAAGTCCTAAAATGTACCCACTATACTTTCTGCCCAGTTTCCTTGTATAAGAGTAACTGTCTTGAAATCTGGTGTTGATTATTCCACGCACTTAAGATAGTTTTCCAGGAAGATCTTGAAATGTTTGGCAATTGCACAATAGATGGCCTCTATTTCTTTAAATAGCTTCTTTTAAGGAAAAGAACATTTGTCTTTGAGCCATGATTTGCACTGTTTTCACACATTCTGTATGTACAAGTATGGGACTTTCTCTTTTGTTTTGAGACTTATTTTGATTTGCCATTTGATTTCTTGTCTGGTCCACTGCTTGTACAGTACTGTGTTGTATAGTTTTTACATATTAATTATTTAATATATACATTGTGGATTTCCCAGCTTTGTTTTATTGTTGTTCTTTAGTTTTGTACCATTATGGTTGGAAAATATGCTTAGTGTGATTTCAATTTGTGATATTCGTTATGTCTCCTTTTATATGACTCAACCAGGGGATTTGTCTGCGTGTACTTGAGGAAAATGTGTATTCTATTTTTCTTGGGTGGAATGTCTTACATATATCCTATAGAACTGTGTATTCTGAAGTTTGCCCTAAGTCAAAAATGTTCTTGTAGGAGAAGGAAATAATAACTTTAACTGAGGGTACCCTTTTAAAATAAAGCATATCAGAGAGGAGGAGGGCTGGGAGATGGGTGAAATAGTCAGGGGGCCTTAAGGAGTGTATGGAAATGTCACAATTGTATTGTGTATTGTATACCTGAAATTAATATAACACTGTGTGTTAACTACACTGGAATTAAAACTGAATAACGTAATAAAACATTTAAAGAAAACCCCCAAGTACATGATTTTGATTTGTGATTCAAACTATCCAGTTACCATAAAAACTAATTCATTCCAACTGTCAATAAGCTTTACTAGTTAGTGTAAAGCACTAACAGTTAGCCTTAGCGGTTAGCTCTGGCTTGTGTTTCTTACTGGGGACGATGTCTGTAAGAGGCATATTTATGAAGGCCCTCAGAGGACATGACCTTCAATCAATTCATCAACCTGTAACATCTTAAACGTCCAAGATAGGAAGGTGTTCTGACCACACGGGTGCTTCTCTGCCATGCCACCCTCAACCCCAGCGGGCTCCAGCGCACTACGGAGGAGGAAGTAACTGTTGTGGGGGTGGGGGAGGGGCAGGTCTGGTTCCAGGGCTCGGAAGGCACTTTCGCAAGCCCACGCTACTGTACAACTCAAACTGCGAGTGCTCACCATCTCGAGACATGCCTACGGCCAGGCATTTCTGTAACCGACAGTGCTGGCAACGGTTTCTACTGGTTCGATCAATCAAACAGTTCTTCTGACGCGGACAGGAGTAGGTGGCATTGCTCTGCTGACTTCTCCTGAAAAAGCCCTGTGATTCAGTTATAAAATATAAAACAGGTTAGTGTCAGTGTGAGCTGTATGATACTAAAGGCAGTACACTAAGCACTGAACAGCATTGATGTTTAATGGAGAATTAAAAAGTCATGGCAGAGATCATCCAGGAGACCACTAATGACATTGAAGCCACTTCTTTTTCTTGGGCAAAATTGATCTCTAGAGCCTAATCCTCTGTCCCGTACACATGTGAAACTTTCTTTAACTCCAACAGATGGCTGTCTGTGTGATTAGGCCCTGTTCTTAACTTCTGCTGAGCAAACCATGTGCTTGATGGATTGGTACAAAGGCACTTATCTTTTTTTTTTTTTTTTTTAAGATTTTATTTATTTATTTGTCAGAGACAGAGGGAGAGAGAGTGAGCGAGCACAGGCAGACAGAGAGGCAGGCAGAGGCAGAGGGAGAAGCAGGCTCCCCGCCGAGCAAGGAGCCCGATGTGGGACTCGATCCCAGGACGCTTGGATCATGACCTGAGCCGAAGGCAGCCGCTTAACCAACTGAGCCACCCAGGCGTCCCAAGGCACTTATCTTTAATCTCCAAAATATTTTTAATGGAATAAACAAAACATTTCTCTGGAATACCCAGAGGTATGGAAAATCCTGCCTCAGTATAACTCATGATGGCTGCAATCCTGATATCCTGGGCTATCTCTCCTAGCCCACTGAACTCTGTCTACCATACTCCACACATCTTGCATTCCCTGAGACAGACTCTCCTGCCCCAAGAACTTAAATGACACTGGGATGGATTATCTTGGCAGATAAATCAGAATGGGAATACTCGTCCACCCTTGAGTTCAGAGTCATAGTCTTTAACAAATCCAATCCCATGTTCATTGAGTTCCATTTCCTTGCCTTTTTTGTTGTTGTTGTTGTTTGTTTTAAATTAAGATTTACTGGGAGCACCTGGGTGGCTCAGTTGTTAAGCGTCTGCCTTTGGCTCGGGTCATGATCCCAGGGTCCTGGGATCCAGCCCCATGTCAGTCTCCCTGCTTGGCAGGAAGTCCGCTTTTTCCTCTCCTACCCCTCTGCTTGTGTTCCCTCTCTTGCTGTCTCTCTCTCTCTCTCTGTCAAATAAATAAATAAAATTAAGATTTATTTATTTATTTGAGAGAGAAACTGAGTGAGCATGAGTCGGTGGGAGGTGGGGGGAGAAGGAAGGGGAAGAGAATCTCAAGCAGGCTTCCTGCTGAGCATGGAGTCCAACTCCGGGCTTGATCCCAGGACCCATGAGATTGTGACCTGAGCTGAAATCAAGAGTCTGACACTTAACTAAGTCACCCAGGTGTACCCTCCACTTACTTGTTAAGCGCTGTTTTGGAAATGAGAAGGTATGCAAAGATGCCTGAGGAGCTACTGACCTCAAGGATTCCATGTATTCATTCACTTTTTCATTCATTCACTCTTGCTAACTTCTTGAGCTGGATCCTTACTACATCATTAATGTTCCGTGTTCATCCTTTCCCTAAAGCTGTACATTTTCCTTTTGGTTATCTTTTAGAGTAAGTTTTGCTATATAGTATTTGCATTGCCAGTCATTTGAAAACATGCTCTAATTTTCGAAAGATTTCTTCTTTATACATTATTTAGAAGCACATTTCTTAATCTCTAAATATATGGGGGGGTTGGGTTTTTTTTATCGTTGTTGTTTTTTGTTTTTGACTTATCTCTTAGTGGTTTTGCAAGCTAGGAAGGTACTGAAGAAAAGGAAGGTAACCAGAGTCCTTTCCATGACCCAGAGCCATGAAGGGTACAAAAGAGCACTATATATATATATACATCTTCAAATCCTTAATGGTCAAGATACATGACCCCAATAAAGGCAACACCAGTGGAGAGGGGAGAAGTAAAATCCTGAAGAACTGACAGAGTAGCAGGCACACTGACAAAGGTACTTTTTCACGGAAAGATTTTTCTGGAGGTCAACTTGACCGTTTTATCAAAATCCTTAAAAATATGTCTATTTATTGAATCAATAATTATCCTTTAGGGAATATATTTTAAAGGAATATTAAGAATGGTATAAAGGCTTATCTACAAGGATGTTCATCATAAGTACAGCCTGAAATATAAGAATAATTTAGAAAGATGCTAAATGTCCTACATTAGTGAGTTGCAAGAGTTATAGTGGATATCCATATATTCGGAAACCAGTAAAAATGGTATTTCAGAAATACAATTATTGATATTAAAAGGTGATAAAAATAAGGGATCTGTTTATCTGTGCTTTCTGATTTTTCTAGAGTATGTACGTTGAAAGGTACGTGAACTACACGGGAAGAGCAATCTACTAGATCTGCTTTCTTTTGTGAAGAGTTGGTGACTGTGGGTTAAGCCAATGGCTAAGATGGATAGGATATCAGTTCCTACCTCTTTGTTTTGGAAGCCAGCCTAGAATGGGAGGGGGCAGGGTACTGACCTATCACCCACTCTTGGCTGTCTGCCAAACTACTCACTAACCTAAACATGGACAGGGCTGGGGGTCCAGGGTCTCAGACTGTCTGCTGTGCTTTGAATCTCCCTTGTATTAAGTCTGGCCTCTTCTGTGAAGCAATCTTACTTTTCTCAAAATACCTAATGTTGTGGGCTTTCTTGTTTGTTTGGTGTGGTTTTTTTTTCCTCTACAAAAAGGAAGTGAGAAGAAGTAAAGCTTTCTTTGGAGCTTAATGAAGAGAATTCAAGAAAATAAAAATGGTAACAGAGGCAGATAATCCTTAGAAAGAGATACAAGAGGTCAAGGGTCTAGGTATTCAGTTTGTCTGAGATACATAATCTCTGTCAAAGCTGAAAGGTGTCTATTCCTTGAGACTCTACCTTTCTTCAGACCCTCCATGTTTGCTGTCACTATAGGTGCCTAGGATCAGGAATTACTTGCTTTTCCTTTAGCTAAGGCTGAATTTTGCTTGCTTCACAATGAACCTGCTCCATTTTGTTCTATGATCATCAAATATGGAGAATGTCTGAGTGATCTCTTCTTATCTGAAGGGAAGCAGTACTCACGGACTGGCACGCTATCTCCTGATCCCTCACCTATAGAACAAATCACAGCATCTGTCACCTTTCCTCCTTGGTTCTTCCCCCCCATTAAGAATTTCTTCTCAGAATCCTCTCTGGTTTCTTCACTTCCTTCAAAAATATGAAATCCGGAACTAGATACAGCTCTTGAATAATGGTTGGGTCATTAACAAAAAAGATGCTACTTTTTAGTTTCTACTTATCAAACTCCAATTAACATCAACCATTACTAATGAGTTCCAGAACAATGGCACAGAAGCCACATAAAACCATCACTTTGCTTTATTACCAGGGAATGCTGAGAAGGCATGATGATGACGATGATAGAGAAATTTTATTTTATTTTATTTTAAAGATTTTATTTATTTGACAGAGAGAGAGAGTAGGCAGAGAGGCAGGCAGAGAGAGAGGAGGAAGCAAGCTCCCTGCTGAGCAGAGAGCCCAATGCGGGGCTTGATCCCAGGACCCTGGGATTATGACCTGAGCCAAAGGCAGAGGCTTTAACCCACTGAGCCACCCAGGCGCCCTGATAGAGAAATTTTAATTAGTGCTTGTGTTAATCATATATTTTTATTCCATATTTTTGATGCTTTGACATCTTGGGGCCACAAGACCCAGAAGAGATTACATTTCCCAGGACTAGCTAATTCCTAGAGATCACAAGCAACTTGTCTGGAAGCACACTTTTCATAGACAAACCAACCAATCCAGAGCCCCTATACCCAACCACCTCCTCGATGAAGTTCTCAAACTCTGGGCCACTACTGCCCCGTCCATTTTATTCTAGATACCAGATACCAGACAGCCAGGGTGGCCCCTAGAGACCAGAGCTGTCTAAATCTAGCCAATCTTAAACCTGCTTACCCTGCCTTGCCCGTTCCTTCCTATGGGAAATCACAACGAAGTCTCCGTGCGTTCTGTCCCCTTCTCCCTTCTACCTCCTGACTGAGCCTGCTACTTTCCACTGTGGCCCCTCCTGTTTTTAGGGACCCATGAGTATGAAGCCTTCTTCCTTCGTGATATTTTTGTGTCTGTGTGTCCTACCTACACGATTCAAACAAATCTCAGGTATCGTTAAAACAGTGCTTATTATGTGCCAGGCACCCTGTGCTTTATGTGGATGACATTCCATAATTCTGATGAGGGCAGTGTGAGGAAGGCACTACCATCTCCTTGGTTTTCGGTACAGAGACTTTCTCAGAGCCCCACCTCTAGCAGGGAGTAAAGGCAGGGTATGAATTCATGTGGTTTAATTCTAGAACACACACTTTTATCCTTTTTATTTTGCCCTTGCGTGTCAAAAGGATTCCCACTTGGTTATTCTCAGAGAGGGCAACCGTTAAATTAGGCAGAGACAGGTATGAATGAAGTAACAGAACTGATCTACTCTGAAAGTGCTGTTTTCCTTCAGGTTAGCCCTGTTGGCAGGACTAACAGCCCCTGCCCAGGCATTTTCCAGATTCCTCCTTCTATGGCCTGATGTAGGTTGGAGTCCCCGGAAAAAAACAGTCTCACGAACTCATAATTTTCCCTCATTTCTGACCATAGCATTAGGTCTCCTTTTATTCACCTTATTTATTTCTAAATTATTTGGAGTCATTTGGAAAACAAATAAAATACCACCACCACCACCACCAACATCAACAAACTTAGGTCAAGGATACTACGTCACTAAAGACCTCTATCATGAGAGGTGTCTGAGTAATTATGCCATTAATTGCAAGACAAATCCACAAGCATTCCACACGGGCTTTGAGCACTGAGGCTGGAATTAAGTCTTCAAGCTATCAGCTTGGAAGAAGAGAACTATACTTCTTTAGATGGCTCAGCTCTGAAGCGTTTGGGAAAAGTAGGCGAGCAAACAGACACGCCTTGCTCTTCACAACACCATTTATTCTACATTGAGTCAGCAGAGCAACTAGCTGCTGAAAGTTCTGGGAGTGGCCAAGAGCCAGAGAA